AAAGAAAGAAAGAAAAAAAAGAGAAAAAAAGATATGTTCTTAAAAAGCTATCATGAGTCAGGCATGCTAATACACATATGTAGTCTCAGCACTCAGGAGGCTGAAATAGGAGGATATCCATAAGTTCAAGGCTGGTCTACATTGTAAGGATCTGTTGAAAAAAAAAAAAACTACTATGAAAGCTGAGTATAGTGGACATCTGTAATCCTTGCCTCCTAGCCTAGGCAGGAGGATCTTGAGTTTGAGGCCAGCCCAGATTACACAGGGAGACCCTGTCTCAAAAGACCAAAGAAAAATTTACCATATTTAGAAAGAAAATTAGCTCTAGATTGCATATGTGGAGAGTGGGCTAAAAGATCCTTAACTGTAAGTGGCAGCCGAGTGCTTGTTATGCAAGGTGTAGTACAAAGAGCCTGTTCCCTTTGACAGTGTGGTCACAGGTAAGCCACCTTAGCTAAGTTGACCAAGGGAAGTCATCTCATTAACACTGAAGCCTTCAAATACCAGACTGTATGCGTTCTGCACTTCTTAGCTGATCGATCATAAGAAAGAATGGTTTAGATAAGAACTTTCTCTAAATTACCTTTTTTTGAATAAAAAATGCCTATGTTTAATACTCACTTTTTTTTAGTGACAGATTTGTAAGTCAGACAAAAGATTCCAATTGAAGCAAACTTGACTTGCATTTGCTGGCTTTCTGGAGAATGGTGTTTGTGTTCTGCCCACTAACCTCCCCCTTGGGCAACAGGGTGTCAGCACATGTTTGTGAGGCTGGTGGTGGTTTTATCTGGTTTCAGCCTGTTTTGCATTCTTACATGCTCCTCTTGGGCTAGAATGAAGACTGCAATGGAAAGGACAGCTGCCAGGAAAGCGAGCCATCAGTGACCACCGAGGCTGTGCACTACTTGTACATCCAGGTGAGCCCCGCAGTGCAGCTTGGTGCACAGTGGCCACTGGGCGTGTTGCAGGGTCCCATGACAAAGACAGTGCACAGAAAAGGGCTGACTGCCACTGCCAGAGGTTAGCTGACCAAGGAGGTTGCAGCATGGAGAACCTTTCCCCCAGCCTCAACTTCATGCTGCTCAGACTCGGGCTGTGTAACTTCCTCCTGAATCCACCTGTCTCCACTGTGTGAGCTTAGGCGAGGTTCTTCAGCCTTCTGTGCCTGTTTCCCCACCTGTAAATTAAGTATAGCTATCTCATAGGCTTATGAAGAATAAATGAGCAGATAGGTGTGAGATCCGTTGAGCCATATCTGAGTTCAATAAATGCTAGACTAGAATTGTATAGAAGCTTCACTTTGTCTAACAAGCTGCATCTGGACAAGTAAGGTGTGGTGTGCACAACACTTGTCCTTGTAAAAGAAACACTTTTCTGGCTATAGGCAAAGTATCTTATCCTGGAATCTCTGAGCAACAACAGCCAGCAGGCCAGTTCCAATGAGGTGTCACTGGAATGAAGCCCAAGCCTTGGCTACCTTCTGTAGCAGCCTCCTTGATGGCAGGGTGCTCTTGCAGCAGAGCAGCGGGACAGCTGCAGACCAAAGAATAGGTATTGCCTGTATCTGGAGGGAGCCGGCCTATTGGGCACTATTAACATTCTCAGGCACCTGCAAGTAGGCAGGTCTTTCTATTTGAGGCCTAATACCATGCAGAAAAAGGAACCTTCAGACAAGTTAGTGTTTCAAAGAGACTAATCAGGTGGTTGCTTTCTTGGGGATGGTGCTGGATTTAGGTATCCCTTAACAGGAGTATCACACAGATAATAAAGTATTTGTCCTGCAGACCACTGTTTGTGTAGTACTTGCTGTGTGCCATTTCTTGCTATACAATTAATGAGACAGACTTCAGTAAAGTAGGTGTGCTTCAGGCAAAGGAGGTGAGGCATGAGAGTCATAAGGTCACCGGGGAGACCCTGGCTGAACGCTAAAGAATGACCCAAAATTTGCCAGCCACAGATGGGAGAATAAAGCCTGACCTTGCTCTCTTTAAATATAACTGGTGGAATTTCCACTCTGGCACTGGTTGAGCCATACAGGCTATTTTCATAAATCAAATGCTGCATGTTGATTTAAGGTGAAAATGATGGCTTTGTTGTCTTCTTATGCATTAATCCAATCAAAAAAGGGTAAGGCAGAGCCCCTTCTTGAATGTTTTCATATTTATGGTGTTTGCTCTAGACTTCAAAGTAATTTTTCTTTAATAAGCAAATAAAGAAGTCATGATATCATTAGATTTACTGGCCCTTCCTACCAATTTGAGTTCAGAGCAAATTTGTAGCAAGCAGTAAATAAAGTTTTATTGCAGTCTCATTTGTGTTATTTGTGGTAAAGATTTTAAGCAAGAATTTTTTTAAAGAAATATACAATTATATCAAAAAAACCTTAAAATGGAGCCTGAGGTTGACCCACCTGCCTCACACAACTGGATTTCATACCCAGCACAAATACCCAGCTATGTTGGGATACTAAGATGATGCTTACTTGCCCCAGTGTGTGTCGGCTACTGTTGCTTATGAACAGTATTATTGTCCAGGTGCGTTTTTGCCCACCAGAGGCTTATTTGAGGAGAGGTTGAGGAGTTCAGGAGCTGAACCTAGGGCCTCAAGCACACTGGGCAAGTGTTGACCACTGAGCCACACTGTCAGTCTCCAAAGTAACTTTTGATACTTTTTATAGTGTAAAAAATTGAAATATTTCCCATAACTTTAAAATCCATATTACGGATTTTAAAATGAAAAATGACATTCATTGCAGTTGCCCTCCTGCCAGCTATTTGTGTAACCACATTTTGCCTGCTTTATTCTCTCCAGATGGAGTACTGTGAGAAGAGCACCTTACGGGACACTATCGACCACGGCCTGTACCGAGACTCCGTCAGACTTTGGAGGCTTTTTCGGGAGATTCTGGATGGATTGGCTTATATCCATGAGAAAGTAAACTTTACTGTATTTTGTATCTAAAAACATACACTTACATAAATTTATGACTAAATAGCAAATGTCGCCAAAGGAGAAAAAGTGAAACAGAAATTGTTTTTATAGTATAAATGCCCCTGGACCCACCTTCAGCATACAACAGTGCTTAAATTTTCAAAATGGTATTATCTAATTCATGAGCCAATATAAAGCATGAGTTTTGTTCCCTCTGCCTCAATTTTTTTGAACCTCAGACTGTTTGGACTATACTATGTTGTATTGAGAAGCCTGGGCTATAATGAGTATGGCTCATTTATAAATGACTTGTTGGAAGCAGAACTTGCAAGGTTGGAATTAAAAGTGACTTTCTAAGGAAGGCTCTTAGAGCTCTGTTCCTCTGGTAAATCCTGGAATCCCAGGAGCTCACTTCCTTTCTACCTGACGTGTTCTGTTTGCCTGACATCCAATACTGGCCCACCTAGACATACACAGACATGAGTATGTGACAGACTCCTGCTAGAGAGGAACTCTTTGTTTTCAGAGAACCAGAATTTACTTTCATGTAGTGGTAAAAGAGATTGTACAATAATGTTTTATTGCCTCTAATTATTTTCCACACTATAATACATGAAGCAGTAAGCACTATGAACCACTACAAAGAAGAAAGCACCTACTCTGCTGGGGATGCAAAGTTGACTCATTAGAGTTCTTAGAACTACTGGGGAAAGTTTATGATGAGCTGGCACTTGTAGATGTTGGTATGTTTGAATTAGGGGAGAAAAGCAAGAGTGTTGCAGGCAGGGGAAATGGCACAAAGAAAGACACTGGAAAAGGAGGGAAAGAAGTGTATCCCTGTAGCTAGAGCAGGCGTTTGGTGCTGCAACAGAAGGAAAGGCACTTGGATGGGCCCAGGGGAGGGATCCTTGGATACCACAGCGACCCATTTGGGTGTCACCTGATCAGTACCACCAGCTGGGATTGGAAGATTATAGGGAGGGCGCAGGAAGTTGGGAGAGACTCCAGACCAGAGTCCCAGAAGGGGGTGACCAGGAAAGGCCTCTATCTTTGCAGGGGGCCATTGCTTTGGCCTTTCTGAGCAGGAAACAGTAGTGTAAATATAGTCTCTGCATGGAAAGCAACTGTTGGTTTCTTTGTTCTCTAAGGGAATGATTCACCGGGATCTGAAGCCTGTCAACATTTTTTTGGATTCTGATGACCATGTGAAAATAGGTGATTTTGGCTTGGCGACAGACCATCTAGCCTTTTCTGTGAGTATTTTTTAAATGTAACCATATCTGAAAATGCACCCAGGAACCTTGATAACCAAGGAAGTGTTAAGAGGACAGGAGGGCAGTTTCTGAGGCCTTGTCGTGTAGTACTCAGGGAAGCGGACAAGTGTGCAGTAGTGCTGTACAAGGCTCGCAGGTTGGGAGTGCACTGTACTTCTTGACTTGCATTGCGAGGACACAAAACTATTGTATTATGAGCAGTAATTAGGCTAAAAGCATTTTGTATTAAATAATTTGGTATTTTGATCTTCCCTTCTGAGCCCTTGGAAGAATGCTTTAGACTTCAGGTCCTTTTTACTTGGGAAAACTAAAAATATAAAAACACCAAGAGAAGCAGTTCCAGCCAACCTGTAATTCAGAAGGTGTCTATACTTCATGACATTGTAGAAGTTGCTTAAAATACAAAACCATTTAATAAGAGGTGAGAAATGGCGATGTAAGAGCAAGATAGGAGAAAATTTGTTAATGTAAGGATCAAGAAATGCTGCATGGGCTGGGGAGATAGCTCAGTAGCATAAGTGCTTTCCTGGCAAGCACAAGGGCCTGAGTTCAATCCCTGGATCCACAAAAAAGAAAGAAAGAAAGAAAGAAAGAAAGAAAGAAAGAAAGAAAGAAAGCCAGCCAGCCAGCCAGCCATGCTGCACAGATTGGCCATGGTAGCCCATACCTGTAGTCCTAGTAACTTAGTAGGCTGAGGCAGAAGGATCACGTGAGTCTAGAAATTCAGGACCAACATGGGCAACATGTCCGGGCCCCACCAGCACCTGCCCCCGGAAAAGGCAGCATAACAGTAGATGGGCCCATTTTATATGCATCTTCACAAATGGGAATAGTCCAGGAGGCCACGGTTGAGGCCAGGACATGGTAGCACCAGGGTAGGGACATCCAGCATGAAGAAGCACTTAGACCAAGTAGATGTAGTCATTTGAAAATGACTTTTTTGGGTAGGACTGGGAATGGAACACAGAGCCTCATGCCTGCTGGGTGAGCTCTCTGCAACTGAGCTCCAACTCCAGCAGCCCACATGTTGTGATGGGCTAAAACTGTAAGGTGTAGGGGATGGAGGGGTGCCAGGAGGTTGGGGGTCTGCAGAAGAGTAGACGGCAGGGCTGAGTGCCAGAGGAATTTTACTACGTCCTAAGCCAGAGTTATTAGGCACCAAGATGTGTAGTAAATGCAGTTTATTTCAAGAAAGCAGAGAAAGAAGATAGAATTTGAAGAACAAGTTCAGGGACAAAATTAGAGGGTGAGGTTAGAAGAAGTGGAGAGGGAAAGATGTGGGATGGGACAGTAAAGACATGGTTCTTACTGACCAAGGAGAAGGGGCTGAAATCAGTACTAGGATCAAGGAGGAGCCAGATGATAGGAACTAGATCCCCAGGCTGACAAAGTGATTTGACACCTGGAAGTGTCGTTAGGGAGGTAAGAACGGAGGCCCTGGAGTCCTGCTCACCAGGATTCACTTTGTGGCATGACCTTGGACAAATTAGTGAAACTCTCTACATAGTATCTGGTGCCTGATACACAGACCTACCTCAAAGAATTCAGTAAGAAGCAGGTGAAGCACCTGGAGCAGAGCAGGCTCCCTGAATCGGGGAGGGGCTGTCAGCCTTGGTGGCGCTTGTAGAAACCCATTGAGTGAGTGACAGTAGTGATGGAGGATGTTATAGGAGATGCTGTCTTCCATAACTACATGGAGGAAGGTAACTACCCAGGTATTACAGTGAGGGACAGTGGAGCTGATTTAGTGACCAGCCCCCCTGGAAGAAAGAGTAGACTCTGACCTGAGAAAGTAGTAGCAGTGAAAAACTCAGTTTGCACCTGCTCATGATACAACTTGCTGCTGCTTTTTATCACTTTGGGGTATTTCCTGTCCTGCAGGGAGAGCTGTCTAGTGAGCTATCTCCTCTCTGACTACATTGGGCTTCCCGTGAGCTTCACCTGAATGGGTTGACCAAACTAAGAAGTAATTAAGACTAAAAAAAGAGAGCATTATTACATTTATTCTGATTTCTGTGTGGTAGTTTTTCAGTCAGTTTTCATTTTGGAATAACAAGCCACTCTTGGGCTGGGGAGATAGTTCAGTAGAATAAGC